CACTCAGCACCTGTCTGATTCGTCGTTCGGCGTAAGGACCAAGTGTCTGCAGCTGCTGGGCTGTCTGGGGCTGCTGGAGGCTCCTCTGTTGAAGGACGTTGATGGACCTGGACCTTCTCTGGGTTTGTAGATTCAGAGGATGCAAACAATGCAGAGAATTAGCCAGAAAAACAGACTTCTGTTTTTGGTTTGTAACATCAATTTTTGTGGCAGAATTGTTTAGAAATACAGTCGTGACTCGNAGCCGCTTCATGTTTAATGTAGCATCTTACTGAAGATGATTTTACTGAATGTTCTCATGCAGATGCTGAACACATCTGTTCACGTTTCTTCTCGCTTCTCTTCAGGTTGGATTCTCTGATCAGCAGCTGTGAGAAGTTTCTGCAGGACATCGACTCTTTTCAGAGGTAATATTTGTATTTGTTTGTATCGTTCCATCTTTCAAACCAGTTCAAACACAAACTTAAAACTAGTCTAAAGTGACTGTGAGTCAAACCACGCTGAACATGTCATATAATAATCTGTGTCCAGAGACGTTGGAGGTTCTGCGAGGACACGGTCACAGGAATCAGTCCAACATGGTTTTAGGCCTTGATTTGAGCAGAACTTCAGTTTTCTGGAAATTTCTTCTAAATGTTTGTATTTGCCGTTCTTCTGGCTGAACCTGGTTTAGAGAACAGTGTTCAGTGTTGTGGAGTCACGTGGTTCTGTTTCCAGGCTCTTCCTGACCGAGCTGCCTCACCTCCACGACAGTTTTGTGGAGAAGCTGGTGGAGCTGCTGCCTCGGCTGTCTTCCTGTAAACCGGTGGAACTGGTGAAGATCCTGCAGACGACGCTCAGACAGAGCGGATTGCTGCAGCTCCAACTACCTGAGCAGGTACGAAGAACAACCTCAGTGTCAGTGCAGGTTCTGAACACATTCAGGTCTGAGGGAGAACTTTGTTTCTACACTGAACCTGTTTGGTCAACTTCATGTTCTGCTGTCTGACAGATCCATCGGGCCACAGCCACCATCATAGAACCGACTGGGGAGTCCGACAACCCGCTGAGGTTCACGTCCGGCCTGGTGGTGGCGCTAGACATCGACGCCACGCTGGAGCACGTCCAGGATCCTCAGAACTCCGTTAAAGTTCAGGTGAGCTGAACAGACTGTGGAGTGGTTCAGGGTTGGTGCTGGTTAGAAGCTGCTGCGGACAGTCTGGCCACACATGAAATGAAACACAGCGTTAAATAGAAACGTTCTCTAATGAGCTCAGACACAGAACCAGACCTTCTGCTGTGTTCTTCTCTTGCTGCAGTATGTCAGCTGTTCTTAAACCTGAAGGCTTCTTCTTTTTACTGTTTATTCTGGTCCAGCGCTTGTTTCAGTTTAGATTTCAGTCGGTGGATCATGTTAGTGGTGCCAGTAGAACTGGACTGACTTTAGGTTCTTGAAGACGTTCCACCTTCATCTAAGAACCTCCCTGAGTTCTAACTGATGGAAGTTCTAGGTTTTTATTTCACTCCACCTCACCTGGACCAGCCCCTCCAGGCAGGTAGAACTGAGGAAACTTCTTGGATGAAGGTTGAACTTCTTCAAGAACCAGTGACGTCCAGCCATCGTTTCCTGATGTTCTAATGAGAACCTATGAAGGCCTGAATCACTGAGGATCTACATCAGTCCTGTGAATATGAAGACGTTTCCTGTTGAAGCTGATAAGACCAACAGCTGCAGGTGTTTCACTGCCGACCCATCTGTTCTCTGTGAACCAATCACAGGTTCTGTATCCAGACGGTCAGAGTCACGTGATCCATCCTAAACCTGCAGACTTCAGGAAGCCTGGACCGGACCGACACCGACTCATCACACAGGTGTACCTGTCACACACGGCATGGACAGGTGAGACGGTGTTTTCATCTCCATCTGCTCTAAAACATGTTTGTAGCTTCTCATTGTTGGGCTCATGGTGTGGATTCTGCTCATCTGGTATCTGTGTGAGAAGGAATCTGCTCCAGACGATGATCCTGGTGTGAAACGTAGCTTCAGAGTCCAGCAACGTGATAAATCTGGAGCCTCCTCTTGGAACTCTGGAATATTTAGAACTTCATTAAACAATAGAACAATAGAATATCTGTAGATACAGAACCCGTGTTTGTTTGGTTTCCTCATGGTTCCTGTTGGTCTCTCAGAACCCTCTCAGATCGAAGTGCGCCTCCTGCTGGCCTACAGCTCCTCCTCCGCCTCCCTCTGCTCCTCCAGACTGGGATGGAGCGACAGCATCGACAGCCTCCCGCCTGCAGAGGGCGCCGTTGAAGGAACCATCCCCTTCAGCAAACCTGTCAAAGTGTTCATCATGCCCAAACCCGCCCGACGCTGAAACAGAACCACTGGAGCTCCTGAGAGGATCTCAGATGGTTCTGGTTCTGGTTCTGGACTGAAGGAAGACGTCAGTTACACTTTCAGCTGGAGATTCACAATAAATCAGAACCAAACCCGTTTCAGACTATAAATAACGGTCCAGTCGTAGGCACCAGAACCTGTTTTTACTGCTGTTTGTGATGAAGGTTCATTTTCTACTTTTATTTGTGCAGCAAACAAGAAAAACCACAAACTGCTGACACTGCATTTTACCAACAAACGCCTGTTTGACATTCTTTCATCTGAAAGTCCACTAAATTGGCTCCAGAGTCAAAAGTAGTTGTTGCACTTTTCATTTTCTCTAAAAACATTTGGAATGTTTTCATCTTGTGTAAAACTTCATGAAGTTCGGTTGAAGTGTTTTTCCAGAACATCAGACAGAAGCTTTGGTTTCTTCACACATGTTCCAGGTTACTGGTCAGTGTTGTATGAAAAGGTGACAGATGGAAAGTGAAGCTGTTTAAAGTTACCAGATTAAAATGAAACCAGCTGTAACTGGACCTTGTGGATCATTGGACCTGCTGGCCTGATTCTACGAGCTGAAGCAGACTGAACTGCCTCAGACAGACCAATATTATAAATGAAACATGCAGTTTAACTGAGAACTGAGTCATTTTTCTGAAATACATTCTGCTGCTGGCCCGGTTTGATCTGTTCTGGCTTTCTCTACGATCCGCCGTCTGATGTCGTAAATCACTGCAACAGTTAGTCGATCGCTCGTTAACGGCTCAATGACTAAACGCTGATCACAAACTCAAACACTGATCCTTGTTTTTCACACAGCTGGACTATAAATCAAGATAGTAACGGACAGATGATCACATGAAGACGAGCTTCAATCGGCTTCACAGAAACAGAACTTTAGCTTTAATTAGTCTGCCGACGTTTCAAACTCTCTGAAAGGTGCTTTGTGTCGAAACGGATTTCATTGTCAGTGTGTTGGTTGTAAAAGGCTTTCTACCAACCAAACATGTCTGAAGTCTTTTAAAACCCTGAGTGTTTAACAATCCTGCAGAAAATGTTCCCTGAAGGACTAAGATGGAGCAGAGATTCAATTCAGTTTTATTTGTATAGCACATATTTACAAGAAGTCACCTCAAAGCGCTGAACAAAGGCAGAAACACCCAACAATCCAAACATCTGGATTCTCTATAAGCTTCAGCAGTCTGCTGGGGGGAAGGAACCGAAACCTCCACAGGGGAAAAAAACCTCCGACAGAACCAGGCTCAGGGAGGGACGGCCATCTGCCTCCACCGGTTGGGTGGATGTAGGATGAATGATAACATTTAGTTTACAGTTAAACAAGTTGTTAGAAGTTATTGTCCACTGTGACGATGGAAGCCAACTGTTGGTAACAGTCCTGCAGTGGACTCACATTTTTACAGATTCTGGTTTGTAGTGAAAAGCTCTCAACTATTCAGCTACACATGCAGACACAAACAGACTCCGCCCCTTCAGCTGCTGACGCCATCAGCAAGTCGAGTGGAAGACTCCGCCCACTTTGGCGCCCTGGCCAGCCAGTTTGTTGTATTCAGCCACAGCTTTCTCCGTCTGCAGCACTCTGACCTCGACGCCGCTCTGCTTCACAAAGTCCAGAGTGGTGGAAGGAACCTGAGAGCAGAGAACAAGAGCATAGTGTTCCTTAAGGTTCTGTAGGTGGAACGCTGTTGTAGATGTAGAGTCAGAGGGTACATGTGATCGGATCATTATATTTCACGGTCAATAACTGGTAGGTGAAGGCAGCAGCTGTTCACCTGCAGAGCTTCACTCATTCCTCGGCCGATCACCAGCAGCTCGATTCCTTTCTTCAGAACCTCCTCCAGGTCTGCAGGCTGAACTCCTGGACGATGCTGGAAGTAATAAAACTACATTTAATTGCCCAGTCAGATGTCAGAGGTTCAGATCAGGAGGGTTTAGAGTCTGTTCAGGAACCTCTGCTCTCTAACAACGTCCTCGTGTCCGTCCTGGACATCAACAGCACAGATCTGCAGCGTTCACTCTGATGTACTGCTCAGCTTCTACCTTCACTTTGGGACCTTGTTGAGCTGCAGCTGCACGTGTTGACATCAGCTGTGTGAAATATTATGCTACAGAAACCACGTTTATTAAAAACCGGTTCTGTTCCAACAGATGTGAATGAATCCGAAACAAAGAACGATTTAAAACTTTTTGACCAGAATAGCAGCAGATGAAAAAGGCTCCAAACAGCGAGACCAAAGACGGTTTAAACAGGATCCATCAGAACATTATGAAAGAGGACACACAGCAGAACGATCAGCTGATCACCTCGAACCAGGTTCTGTTGACCCACACGCCTATCACAGCTGACACACTGGACAGTGTTTCCTCCAGCGTCTATCAGAACATGGAGACGTGGTTGGACTCACGTTGGTTCCGGTCTCCCTCCAGTCCCAGGCCCGGCTGCCTCCAGGCCAGACCTTACAGTCCTTGTAGATGGAGGAGCTTCCTGAAACCTTCATGGTTCCCCAGGACAGAGAGCTGATCTGTGGGGAGGACATGGATCTGGACAGACAGGAGGCTTTAGTACATAACAGAACACCAGCCACGTCATATCATACACGTTTCATATTTAATCATTTGGGTCCCACATAAGGACTAAATGGAGCGAGCAGGAGCTGAGAGGTGGAGGACGGTCCAGCTCAGACCATGTTCAGCAGGTTCAGAACACAGCACATGCTGTTGCTCACTACACGCTACATTTATGGATAGTTTAGCTCCAGCTGAGATGAAGGCCAGCTAACGGCTAACAGCTAACAGCTAACAGCTGATATTCATGGACTGGAGCTCGTTTAAACTGAGTCTCAGGCTTCAGACTGAACCGACAGAAATAGCTCAGTACTGCTTTAACAAAAAGCTGAAGAGCCAGAACCCGGTCAGAAACAGCAGCTCTGGGTCAGAGATTCATTAAAGTAAAACAGAAAAGACAAAACCTGAAGCTGCTTCTTTGCTCGATGGGCGTCGGCTGAAACTTGATCCTCTGGAGGGTTCTTCCTCCTGACTTAAAGAGAAACAGACCGACGGTGACTCAGCCCGACTGGTTTCCTCAGAACTGTTCGGGTCTTCATATTTATTGGATGATAATATGTGCAGAAACCATAGAGAGTAAAGGTGACGTGTTGGGATCAGAACCACTTCATCATCACGACTGTACGATGGCTGAAGGACCTGATTGAACACCGGAGGTCTTCTGCTCATGACTGTTAGTGCCGTGAACACTGAGTCTCTGAGCAGCCGTAGTCCAACATCTGGATCAGTAACAGCTGTTCCACTGACTGATTGGTTTGGTTCTGTTCATCACGATGACCCAGAACTACACAACCCACCTCCTCAGCAGCTTTACGGCACAAAGTGGGTCAGAAACTGTGTTCTACAGGTTCAGAACCGTCTACTGATGCTGTAAAAGCAGACTTCACTGAATGCTTCTTACCTCAGAATGGATCCGAGGTTCTTGTGGTTCTGCTGGACTTTGTTCCGTCACATTTACTGGCTCTGGCTGCTAACGTTAGTTAGCCTTAACTAGCCACAGTTAGTTAGCTTTAACCAGCTAAAGTTAGTTAGCCTTAAATAGCCACAGTTAGTTAGCTTTAACCAGATAAAGTTAGTTAGCCTTAAATAGCCACAGTTAGTTAGCTTTAACCAGATAAAGTTAGTTAGCCTTAAATAGCCACAGTTAGTT